GGATATTTAAGCTTTTAACTGAGAAAGAAGAGTTAATTCGTTTATCGAAGGATTGCTTAATTTTAACACATTATATTCACATTTGCAAGAAGAAAAGTGAAATAATTAGTTTCTAGAATAGATTGAATTTCTGTTTGAGAAGTGAACAGCCACAATTTCTCTATTCCCTCTCTATTACTTTAACCCTTTCGCCACGAAAGATTTGAATGCGTAACGTGGATGATCAGCGGCCAAAGGAGGATGTTAAGAAAGTGCCAAATTTGTACCCCTTCAGGCACCTAAAATTTTAACCCTTCCGACCCGACGGCGTTTGCAGTAGTTCGCTTCCTACGGCCGACGTGAAATTTAATAGTCAGTTCGCGATGGCCGACTTGAAATTGAGCGTAAACATATCGAATTGTTTATAAAGTATTTGAGTCTTTGAAATATTGTGATTTTAATATAGCATAATGAATAATTAAGAAAGGAAAGCGGTGACACATTCTCAGAGTCGGTACGCGGTACCGATGTCTGGCATTCTATAAGTCCTAAGGCATCATAAACGCGCAACTATTTATCTCCAATGTGGCGGGAATGTTATAAAAAATGTAGATGAAGTTGACGGTATGTACTTCGAAATTCGAATTGAAACTTCCTGACTTCAAATGATCATAACTTCGAAGTGAATGCAAAATATTCAAACGCTATTCTATAGAGGAAAGTCAATATTTATATAAAGATATTGCTCAAATTGCTAATTGATAACAATAAAACGCGACAAATTAAGACAAGGTGTTACCATACAAATATTCCATAAAATATGTTCGTTATCCTACTGTAACTTCGAGAACAAGATGAAATTTACCGAATACGAAGAATTGTTATTATATTTCATTTCGTCCTGTCGTTACAAATTCCGTTTTCTAAATTAAGATAGAAGCGTGTAAGAATAAAATGAAGTATTAAATTAAGGCGAAGGTGCAAGAAAATTTTGTAAACTCCGATAGCAACGAAAGGGTTAAACTCGCGCTCTCCAAACTCTCAACTCTCCACTCTCAATTCCCTCTCTATAACTCTCGCTCGGTGACAAACGCTCTGTGACCACCTCACGCGCGTTTCACTCACCCTCTTCCACTCTTGCCCTGTTTCTCTATTTTTTCCACTCACCGCGAACATTTTTAAAACACACTCGGTCACGTCCAACCGAATCTTTGACTGCTCACGGACTCTTCGTTCACCCGATACTCTGACACTCTCGTACCGAACACTTCACCCGCGCCTCTATCGCTCCCAACGTAATTCGCCCTAAAAATCCCGTCGCACGTCCACCTCTCCTCCCTAAACGCTCGCTTTTAAATAAATCCCACCGTTCCTCCCACAGCGTGCCTTCGTTAACAGCTGACAAATTTCGTGACTTCGTTAAACAGAGAAAGGTGAAAGCCGAGGAGAGGGACATCAGGTACCAAAGAATCATGAGAAACCTGGTGAGAAGATACGTGACGGTGGAGCAAAGGAAAGCGGAAAACGAAGGTGTGACAGAGGACGACGTGAACGAGATCAAACAAGACATCAGCGCTCTTCGATGCGAGTTGATCGAGATCTTGAAGAACTCCGGGATGAACACGTCCACAGCAAGTGGCACCGGAACTGGTGAGACCATGTTGCATGAACGAAAGAAATTTCTATCGGTCAGCTAGTTCGAATTATTTCGATCTTTTCGTAGAATCCTTTCTTTTCTATTCGGTGTATGTACTTCCTGTACGCGCTCTGTCCGACTCGGTTCGATAGGCAAACGAATTTGCTAGATAGCCCGATACGACGTTTAAGAAGAGGGGACTCGCGGAAGGTTGATCGTTCGTAAATGAAAGTTCCGAAGTTCGTTAACTGGAACGCTATTAATCATCCGGCGAGCCGCGGGAGACTAATTAATGCGATCAAGGATCGTCTGGCGGGAATATTGTGTCGTAGTTGGCTGGTTTCGTTACGTGAACCGCGCGATGTAACGTGATAACATAATCGCCGATTAACGGAAGCGATTGATCGATTAGAACGCACATATCAGCTGTTTCTTCGTTTTCTTCCCCCCTCCCCCCTTTTTTTCTCTTTCTTACGTTTCCTTCAGTTTTTTCGTAGACGCTTCAGAGTAGTCCTTGGTTTTTTGTCTGCCCCATAGACGGTAGCCTTAAAGAGCTGTCCATAGGTGCGGGGGGTAAGAAGAACCGACAAAAGGAGCGTCGGCTGATGAAAGGCTTCAATATCGCCCCTCAGCCAGGCGGAAGTGGCTCTCTGCCTCCGGTTGACGAATTTTCAGCGTCGTTGCAACAAGTACAAGAGGAGAACTCTCATGAACTGTTTAGCTCGACTTTGAGCGGAATATTCGGCCAAGGGACTATACACAAGAAGAGCCAGCATCATACGAGCACGAACAGCGTACCCGGATTGAGCAGCAGTAGACAGAGCCGAAGGATCAGAGGAAGCTCGAAGAAGAAGCGATGGGAGAATCTTATCGAGGCGGCGAAAGTTCGTGGAAGAGTCTCGAAGCTGATCGGTGGTAAGCATGTCAATTTTTCTGGGAGGTTTAACTTTGCCTTCAATTTTTAACTTAATATTTAACTTAACTAATTTAACTTAATATTTAAGTTACCTAATTTAACTTAATATTTAACTTAACTAATTTAACTTAATATTTAACTTAACTAATTTAACTTAGTATTTAACTTAACTAATTTAACTTAATATTTAACTTACCTAATTTAAGTTACCTAATTTAACTTAATATTTAACTTAACTAATTTAACTTAATATTTGACTAATATTTAACTTAATATTTAACTTAACTAATTTAACTTAATATTTAACTTAACTAATTTAACTTGATATTTAACTTACCCAATTTAACTTAATATTTAACTTAACTAATTTAACTTAATATTTAACTTAACTAATTTAACTTAATATTTAAGTTACCTAATTTAACTTAATATTTAACTTAACTAATTTAACTTGATATTTAACTTACCCAATTTAACTTAATATTTAACTTAACTAATTTAACTTAATATTTAACTTAATATTTAACTTAATATTTCACTAATATTTAACTTAATGTTTGACTTAACATTTAACTAATATTTCACTTAAATTGAAGTAAGTGAAAACTTCAAATTTAGAATCTAAACGAATATACTAAAGAAGGAAACGTTCGAATCGTTCTCTCAGTTAGATCTCCTTCGGTGGACTCTGTCTATTCGCCAGCGTCCGAAGACGGAGGATCGAGGTCGGAAGGATCGACAGATTCAAAGTCCTCGTTGGAGACACCTGGCCACGAAGTGCAACCCGGCCATCATACCGATCATTCTCATCATCACGAAGGACATCAAATGCTCCCTCACGGTCTGAGCTCGCTAGTGGCACTCCACAGGAAACGCAAGACTTTCTCGGACTCCAGGTCGTCTACGTCGGGCATGAGAAGCAGCAGCGGCACGAATCCCATACATCCTATCACCTCAGCGCTCATGTCCAAGGTGTCGAAGAAACAACAGCTGCAGAGAGCGAGCAGCGTGCCTACCAGGGGACCGGAACAGGGACAACAGCCGATCACACCGAGACTACACGAGGGTACTCAGAGTCAGCAGCCCAGTATCGACACTCCCGAGGGCGCCAGCGCTAACGAGCAACCTGGTGAGTAGATTTTTGTGCGAGAGAATAAGGACATTTTTTGGATGATTTTTAGGTTTCATTTCGTCGTTATCCAAGTACAGCAGAGTTCCGATTATCCTTAAGCCCGATACACATTAGCGGTTTGCTCCCGGTCCGCTGAAATCTCTGAGCATTCACTCTAGCGGCCCGGCCACAGTCCAATCCTGGTTTACTCTTCAAATATAAATTAGTTTATACATTTACGTTTGGCTAAAAAGGCGAATGAAAAAAAGAAATAGGCTACAACATATTACAGTTTCATCAAAATCGGAATTGGAGTGGTGAAATATTCTTTCCAAAGACAGTTTCTGGAGCGTTACCCTTTTAAAGCATTGAAGAATATTTGACCGAAGCGGGAGTGGACCGCTAGTGTGTATCGGGCCTTATTCTTCGTCAACTTCGTCATATTTCGCATAAGCAAAGAAGTTGGCTGTACGAAATTTTACTGTATAGTCGGGGCCACGATATAGCGAGGTCGTAAAATCGGTCAGACGTCAAAGTAAACATGTTTTAGCTGCCGGGACCCGAAAATTGACAGAGATACGAGCAGATAAGTACTTGAAACCATTGTCAGGACCGTACGAAGAATTCTTGTATCCAGCGAAAGTCAACTGATTCTAATATACTTACTGAAAACTGCATGCAGCTAGGACAAATTAGGGTTTCTCCCTCTGGGGGAAGCCGCTTTTGGAAGTACGGTTACAGGTAAAGGTCTTATTGATGTCTTTAGCATCTTAGTTTATCTACTCGTGTTATATACAGATAGAAAGTGCAAAAAGATTGTGTAGCTTAATATTAACATATTTTCCATTTGTAAATGAAATACCATTTTCTACTTGAAGTACCAAAGTTTATTGTTGGAACCCTCAAACAGACTGCAACACACGGCCTTGAGTGCCGCAACATCAATCGGTGCCGATTCTTCAGAGTTTAAGTTACGACCTCGCTATATCGTGGCCCCAACTATATATACTTCCTAGTAAGGCCTTAGATTAATGTTTGTTATATCTAACTGACTGATAAATCTAACACTAACTTCTTAGAAAAATTCAAGTCACTTGCTTCAATTAAAAAAAAAAAGTTCTTCTGTTTTGAATGGCCTTCTGTCCCCGACTGTAAGTAGCTCTATGAACGAAACAATACCTTTTTCCTCTTGTAAAATACCTCTATCTCATCCTTCCATAACCAGCCGCCATATGTGTTCTTTGAATTATTACTCGAGGCCTCTAGGTTAGAGTGTCCAATGATTATCGAATTCCAACGATTCCCCAACATTGCAGTTGTCCAATGCGTCACTCGATACCCCAATGAAGCTAATCCTTTCCACCTATCCATTATTCAGCGTCTTCTTCCTCTTACAAAATACCTCTACCTCCTTCCACAACCAATCACCTACAAATCCCCAATATTCCAAACAATTTCCAAAAAACCAGCCACAGAAGAAAAAGAGATACAGGAAGATCAGTGGTAAGCCAATCGCGTAAATAAGACGATACGATCAGACTGTTTATTTAAACACCGACGAGCATAAGTGAATTTCTAGCGGGTAGCTAGAACGTTTCCGTTTATTTATGTTGCACAGTGGTTCCGGCGGCTCCGCTGACGCCGTCGACGACCGAAGAGAGCGTGATCGCCAGCAGCTCTCTACCAGCTACGATGAAGAGGAACGGTTCGGCGACTCAGCTGCAACGACTCCCGGGCATCGAGCCGATATCCGGCCACGACGTGACCGGTGGATGGCTCTGAGAGACTCAACAACGTCGCCCAACGGCGACGACGTCTCGCCTAACAAAATCGAACTGAATTTCGTGTAAACGAGTTCTCTTTCAGCCAACGTTAATACCGAAACGACGACATCGATCGAAATAGAAGAGGATCACGTAAGATCGCGTGGTCGTCGGCACACGCACAATGATGCCTTCTCACGACGACTCACCCTCGCCGAGACGAACAAAACTATAGATAATATATAAATGTATATTGTACGTAATAAGTAACGTCGACCGTGAATCTCGAGCAACGCCAGCTCGTCGATCCGTCCTTCACCCTGTTCCCTTCAAAGTCTTCGAGGACGAAGAAGAACGGAGACAGACGAAAACGCGAGAATTTTCCCATGTTACCGAAAAACGACAAATTAACCTCCATGGTGCTTCGTGAACGTTGATTACCGCTTTAAGAAAAAGAAATGAACTTCAACGGTGCTTCTTAAGCGTCGATTACCACTCGGAGAGAAAGAAGAGAACGTAAATCCTGCGTGGAAATGATCGAAAAGTTCCCTCGAGACGATCTCGTCGATCGATCGTGTTCCTAGCGGCGATTTTTGCAGCGAACAATTTCCACGAGGGTTAGAGCACTGTCGAGGTCAATTCAACGAGGTAAACGAACCTTGTCACCGATTACTTTGTAAGAGAACGAACGATAGGGGAACAAGTGGAAATGCGTTTCCACTTCGTTTCTTATCGGAACTACGATTCTACAACTGTTACTATACTACTACTGCTACTACTGCCAGAACGGACAGGGCGGGCGGATCGACGAGGAAACATTAGCCTAGTCAACACTAGTCGAACGATCTCGAAGAGAAACAGAACAAAGGTTTGCGACGATTAAGATCGCGTTGTTAACACGTTTACGTTTTTAAGATACGGAAAGAGGAATAATTGTTATCGTCGTTCCGCTATAGTAGAACGGCGAACGTGTCGAATTTATTATTGTAATCGCTTCAGTAAGCTGGCCTAACTGAAGATCCAACTTTCTTTTCATCTATTTCCCCGCTATTTCTTCTTCTTACCTTTTCTTTCTCGTTTCTCGTCTCACACTTACTCAACGAACTCTAGCCTAGTCTAATCGAACGATTCCTTTCTTTTCGCTATCAACGGAGAAAGAAAAATACGGCGAAAAGGACGGAGAAAAAAGGGGAGAGAAAGAATCCTCGTGCTCGAAAATTAGGGCAACGTTTCTGCCGCTGGTCGTGGCAGGTCGATATCCGGAAGGGCTCGCCGGGCAATGTGGAATCCGCTGACAGGCAGAGGACCGAGATCGAGGGAGAGAGAGAATTGCCCCCTGGAAGCTTTCGAGGAACCGTCGAAACACCCCTTCGAATTCAATTTCTTTGTGTTTTCATAGCCGTAGCGGAGAAACCGTATTCCCGTTCGGTCGATTCGTCGCCAATTCTCTCTTGTCTCTCCCTCCCTGTTCACCGGGTTCGCGAAACGAGGGAGAGAACGAGAGTGTCACGACCAAATATCACGGAGAAAAGGTACACAAAGAGAGAAGCGAATCGTAGAGTAGTCGAGTAGAGGCCTAAAAGAAATTAAGATCCGTACTACTTCCTAGAGATATTACGTGTACGTATGATAATAAGTATTAATTAACGTGAAACCGCGTTGTCGGGAGGAAATGGTGTCGCGCGACCGCGACGTAACATTAACTTGTACCGCCTACGTGTATTATTTATGAGATTATTATATTGATAAATGTAAAGTATAGATGTCCACTTGGCAAAAAGAAAAAAAGAAAAAAAAGTAACAAACGTCGTAGTGAATGTTAATTCTTGTGAAGCGTGGAGAGAGAGAGAGAGAGATGTAGAGTTAGGCGTATATGTGGAAAAGTTGTCGAGGAGAAAGAAACAAAAGTGAGCAAAGGGTACACGGTGAAACGGAACCAAACAAGATTTTATTAACGACCTAAGCCGGTTGAAACAATAGATACTCGTAACAGGGACATAACGTAACGACCTTTACGACGAGAATCGTAGAGTTTAGCGGAATTTTTTAACGATCGATGAAAATTCAAACTATCGTTTCGAGACAGCGCAACATCCATTCACGAGAGAGTTCAGATATTTTATAGAGGGGCGCGGGATCTATGGGGATCAAGAGTGGATAAGGGGAAAAACGGAGACTTTGAAATTAGGCTTTCCTATTGTTATCGTTTCACCAATTCGTTCGTGCTTGCCAAGAAAATTTCTCTTTATTTCGTTACTGTCGCGGTATTAACGAGTTTCGTGTAATCGTCGGGGCACGATTCGAATAATTCGGCGTTAACCAGTTAGCTGTTTTCGACGAGTGTACTCGTCATGAAGAAATGGCGATATTTTGTGTTACGACGAGTATACTCGCCACAGGTTGCTGTTTAAATTGCAATTTTAGTGAAAATTTAAATATATTGACACGTTCCGCGCCGCGTGGGTCGCATACGCCCCACTCTGGACTTTCCGTTCAGGCTGTAAGGAGTGGCTTGTTGAGGATGGTTTCAAATAAACAACGGATTGAAAAGCGAGAAGAACTGCTGCTAGGTGCTTGCAATTTTCACGGTGTAATCTGTGATCATTTGTGTACCGACGTACGAAGTTTCGTGGCTCTCTTTTACAGTTGGTGAAGTAGGGGTGTTTACAGCGACGGAGAAGAGACGAATAGAAGCTTGGAATGATCCAGTACCTGGTGACAAAGGACATCGCCGCAAGGACCTTGAATGATTTTCGCAAGAATTTCGAATAATTTTTGCAAGGTCCTTGAATGATCTTTGAAGCGAGGTCCTTTATCTTCAGGTATTGTATCGCTGCTCGTTTTCTAAATTTGTCCATCTCTACTCCATCTACTGCGAATACCTCTACTTCACTAGTTCTAAAAGGGAAAAAAATGACGACAGAGACACGAAACTGTATACATTAGTACACAATTAATTACATAGGGGGAGTTCCCTTAACGCCGGACGGCACCTAATATCCGACATTAGTTATACCTGCAATAATTGAAACGCTACCGAGCCGTTATTCCGCGTATCTCCTAGAGGAGACAAAAGGAGTAAAAATAAGTTTTCTTCGCGTTTCACTCGCGTGTGCACAGGTAGAGAGATTTATTTAAGAGAAACCTTAAGCGTCCGGTGCTAGGGGAACTCCCCCTATTATTCGGTAAAAATTACAAGTAGCCGTGAACTTTTCAATCCACCCTAGTATATTGGTCGGTCGTATGCCTGTTCGTTCGTGTGACTCGTAATACTCTACCCTCCACGGTGCTTTCCGTAATGCTTTCTGCAACACTTTCTGCCTCGAAACATTCTTCCGCGTCTTTTTCTCTACGGCGCTCCTCTACTTGTCGCGTGGCCGGGTCCTTACCTGACACTTGTCGCGACGTGAGTGCGCCAAATGTTGCGACTGGGCCCCGGCTTACGGCAGGCTCGAGGTCCTGGACTTCTCCGCTTCGACGTAGTCCTCCTGAATTGCCGTGCCATAAACCAGGACCGTCCACCCGTCCATTCGTACAAACTCGTACACAATTGACAAAATGCACACTTCACAAATATACGATTCATTGAAAAAGTATAAAATGGAAAAGTGACTTACAAAATTTCACTGTCTTATCAGCCGTCTGAATGAACCCCCGATAACATAATTCTCTCCTGAAAGCAAGCGTATCAACCCTCTGATCCTGCTCAAACATAATAAATCTTCATTCTACCAGCTTCCATTTCACATAAACTGTTCTCTCCCTCTCTCCGATTCTCCCAGTTACCTAATCTTAAACATACAAATTTGGATGAGCCTCGACCCATCGATGTCGACAGGGCGCAAACTTTCCAAAGCTGGCCATCCATCTTGGACGGTCGCTCATACTAATTGTACCCGACGCGAGCTCAAACTTCGGTGATTAGGCGAGTGCGTCCCCGTTGCATTGTGCTCTCTAGGTGCACGTCTTTTCCTCAACCGCGTTACTATACTCTGCGCGACAACTAGGGTAGAACGACTCCGCCGGACTTGCATGTCGCAACGAGGCGGAGAGTCTCTCCTCCGTTTTTTCCTGTTTTTGTCCTCCCCGTGTAAGCATTAGCATTTCGCATTTCTTATTCACAAGTACGCTCGCGATGGCCAAGGGAAAACAAGAGGACGAAAGAACGAAGAGGGTGTGTCCTGTGAAACTATTGGCCCACTCGGTACGTTAACCTTTATTCTACCGGTACAGAGACAGGAATAATTCATCTGTGTGTGTGTGTAAGTTTAGAAGAGATACCGCGCTCCTTTTGTGCCTAACAAGTGGCCACAATTTCTGCCAGGTAAATAATTAACGCCCAAGTGGTGTAGCTTCGGGGTAATTTAAAGCAAATGGAAGTGATGTGAATTATGCACAGGATGTACCAAAGTTGAACGTCTAAATTTGTGTCTGATCTTTTACGTTGAACCCGGCCGGTAGGTAAATATTTTTAACACTCTGTGGGCGAACTGGGTCGTCTATGTTTGGGTCCAATCTTTTTACCGTTCTAGGTGTTTTCTGGGTTCTACTGTTCTTTTGTTGGTTTGGATAGAAGGCCGGAGAAATTCTGGGATACTTGTCGAAGTCTCTACTGTATTTTACAATTGTCCGTTAAGTGAAATGTTTAAAACCTTCCTCGGTAAAAATCCGTGTCGAAGAGGTCAATGACCCAGAAAATTGCCTACAAAGGGTTAATATTTGACGCAACAGTTTTTTCTCATTTTTATCAGCAGAATTTCTGGAGTGCTTATCGAAGTCTCTACTACACCATACAATTGTTCATCAAGTCAAATGTTTGAAACCTTTCTCGATAAAAATTTATATCGAAGAGGTCAATGACCCAGAAAATTGCCTA